CGGCCTTGGTGCCTTAGACCCTGTTGATATAGTGAGGATAACTCACCTCGAAACTGATGGCTGAAAGATAAGATCCCACTGCTCCGAACTCTGACACAACTCCTTCACTGAACAACAAACAATAACCCAATAAATACCCGTAATTACCAAAATACCCCTGGGGGACAACTGGTCAACCCTGGACAAGTCAAAGTCAACTCCTGACAGACCCTACTCGCCGAGTCAACCCTATGACTCGCCGAGTTCTTATGCTCAGAACTTCCCTCACTTAGCGACCCAACTCGCCGAGTCACCCCAGGACTCGCCGAGTGCAACAACTCTGAGTCCACTCGCACCCAACTCACCGAGTCGTCCCTCGACTCACCGATTCATCGACTCAACCAGAAATATTGGGACTTCCTCGACAAGACTCGCCGAGTCCAACTGAACTCGTCGAGTCCAAGCTCATCTTCAACCTACTCGCCGAGTTGTTCTTCCAACTCGTCGAGTTCAAGGCCATCTTCAAGCAACTCGTCGAGTCCACCCATGTGACTCGCCGAGTTCCACCGGTCTGAATCCATACAGAAGCATCTCAGGCCATGCAATTGATCCAAAACATAGATCCAACCTCCTACAATCCATCCATCACGTAAAGTGGCAAACTTTACGTGAATCTAACGAGATCTAAGCCATTTTCACCTTAAAACCTAGGCTTGGGACATGATAGCTTCATTCATAGCACAATGGTTGGGACTTTAATGCACTCAAAGACTTCTCCATTCCAGATCTGAGGTAGCAACCTCAGATCCACCCTCCAACACCAAAATGACACACAACCAAGCATCCCACACAACCCCAAATGATGAAACTAGAAATGCACAGCTCAAGGACGACGATATTACCTCCCAAAGATGCCTCAACAACAGCTAAGCACGAATCCAAGCAAAGCCCTTTGATCCAAACCACTTCTCCTTCAAGGTTCCTCCAAGCCACACCTCTCCAAGCTCCAATTTGCTCCACCAATGCTCTTCTCCACGAGATTAGGGTTTCTGGAACTCAAGGGGGGAATAAGAGAGGCTGTGGAGGGGTGTTATGTTCTTTATATAGGGCTCAACCCCGGAAATTAGGGCTTTCTTCATACAGCACCTACTCGCCGAGTCCATACTTGGGACTCGCCGAGTAGGCCACCCGGCACGCGACCCATCCGCGACCTGACTCGCCGAGTCCATTCATGGACTCGCCGAGTCACCCCTCTAAACTTACACTTTAAGCCCTTTAACTCTACTCTTGCGATTTCGGGATGTTACACTACCGCACTCTCCATTCTCTCTCTCTCTCTCTCTCTCTCTCTCTCATCTTTTTTTCTTCTTTCTTTTCTCTTTCCTAACCATTTTCCCACTCCCACCATGTGGTATCAAATTGATGAAATGAGAAAAAATATGAGTTGGTGTTTACATGGTATAAGAGTGAGTGCAGTTTCAATGGCATCACTCCCTCTAGTCTAAGGCTAAATGCAAAAAATAACAATGTACGAGAATATATATTTGTATAAGGTTAGTTTCGCGGGTGTTTGGTTTAGCTTTTGTGGGACAAAAGTCCTTTTTATAAAAGGACTTCTTGTAAAAGAACTTTTTATAAAAGTTATTTTTTAAAATGTGTTTGGATTAACTTTTGAAGGGAAAATGTTAGAAGTTAAAGTGTTTAGTTTAACTTTTACATGTAAAATGATAAAAAAAGACATGTTTAGGGTAGATGAGGGGTATATTGGTAATTTAATATTTTTAGCTGGTGAAAAGTTAGGAAAAATCAGGTAATAATGACTTTTCAAAAAGACTTAAATTACTCTATGGGAAAAATCATTTACAAAAATCCTTTTCCTTTTACCAAACATCTTTTGAGACTTTTTCTAAAATATAAAGTAAAAGTTAATTAAAAAGCTAAGCCAAACATCCACTTCATCTTAGAGAATCTCTAATGGTTAACCCATGTTAAGACTCAAAAAAAATTGTTAATTCATCGTTCCTATAACTTTAACCTATAATAAAATAACATCTTCAATGGTCAACGCCTTTCAATAATTTTTTTCTTAAATTAACTAATATATCTTTATCTATCTAAAATATTCTATAACCCCCCTCAATTAAATAGTGGTTTTTTAAACACGCATTATATCCAATATGTCACAAACATAAAAACATATAAATACAATTATGTCGGGTCTTTATTTTATATACATAAAATATGAAGAAAAAAAATATTACGTTATAGTTATAAAAAAATAAAAAGTATTTTAAAAACATTATATAGTTGATAAAAAAAATTATATTCATAAATAAATTTATATTATAAATAATAGAATGAATTATTTAGTAAACAAATAACAAATATCTTATACTATATTATAAATCATATTAGTCATATTTTAAATTTTAAGATGTATAAGTTAAAAAAGTTTTTTGTACAATTCAATTATACATAAATAATTCATTAATACTTACCAAAATTTTAAAGATTTGAATTAAAATTTTCAATTTGGAGTAAAATGAAAATTTTAAAATATTAAATTCATGTATATAAATTAATTTATATTTTTTAAAACTAAACATCAATATTAAATAATTTACATCAAAATATAAATATAAGGTATAAACATAAAAACTATTTGTCTAATAATTATTACCCATAAGAAACTATCCATCAAAAAATTATTTATCGTGTCGATGCTTTGCACGTGAAACATCTAATTTAAAACTCAAATATATTTAAGGGATAAAATGAAATGCTCCTAACGAATGACGACTTAGATGTATTAAGTGTAAAAGTATATATTGATCACTCAATATATATTATACGGTCAATAAAAAATCAAATAAACTCACTCATCCAATGATATTGACCATTTAATTAAAAAAAGGTAAATAATAATAAAGGAAAATGACTCTTGAGGGTAATTAACTTTTATGTTTGTACTCATTTGATCCATTTTTTTGTATTAAATATATCATCGAACTTGTTGTTTGCGTTCACCAAAACCCTTTTGACCGACTTTTGATATGTGATAGCCGGTCAAAGGGTTATGGTGAACACAAACACAAGTTCGATGGTATATTTAGTACAAAAAAAAGGAAATGGATCAAATGAAAACAAATGCAACAGTTGGTTACCCTCCTGATTCATTTTCCTTTTACTCATTCACAACAAATCTCACATCATCCCCTATTGATATTAATGACTTTATGAGATTCATTATTGTTTCTCTTCAAAACATAACCCACGAAAGAACATTATTCCTACATGTACTACTTTGTAATGCACTTGAATATTTATTAGGGAAATCTTGACTAAGCAGACGCATTTCATGACTACATTTACATTTCCAATCAAATGATTTATCGTATCATAGATTCTAAACAAGTCTACAAACGAGTGGTATCACAAGTGCTGTGATTTTTGAGTTTACTTAGCTTTAAGATCGAATTCATGGGATAAGAAACAACATCAATATGTACAATATCATGCTGCTTTTGTAGATACATCACCATAATATACCTTAAGATAAACGTTTATGGTGATAAATATACCTCTTATACACAGTCATATCCTTTTGCAGAGAGGTGTTGACAGCTAACCACAATAAGCATAACGTAGACCATGTTTTAACAAGGTTACCCCTTTGAAACACTCTTCATATACGTTATAGCCAAAGAAGGTTGCAATCTTTGATAATTTTGTAACTTTAATTTCATTTAAATTTTCGGGAAAAATGACTCAGGAGGGTAACCAACTGTTGAGTTCGTTCTCATTTGGTCTCTTTCCTTTTTTTTTTGTACTCAGTATACCATCAAACTTGTTCTTTGTGTTCACCATAACCCTTTGACCGGCTATCACAGGTCAAAAGGGTTATGATGAACGCAAACAACAAGTTCAATGGTATATTGAATACAAAAAAAGGAAAGAGATCAAATGAGTACAAACGCAAAAGTTAATTACCCTCAAGAGTCATTTTCCCTAATAATAAGCTAAGAAAAGCTCTCATTAAAAATGTTTTAAGACAAAAGTGTAAGGGTGAAAAGTTGTTGTGAGTGATCAGGCATCATCGAGTGATGCTGCGATTTGTTGAGAAATGTTCAAAACCGTCTTATAATTGTTCTAAATTAACATTGTGATACTTTCTTGTTTTTGATGTTTTCACTAGTATATATCCGATTAACATGAAGAAATACAAACTTTATCAAGTCCAAACGATTGTCGAACATCATATCTTCTTGGTCTATAATATTCACCTCAACCCACAAACACAAATTCTCGATGCATAATATAATCCCAAAGTACTTCATTTGTACAACTAATACATATACAATGTCTTAAACAAGGAATTATTTAAAAATATAATGTTGTAATGATATAAAATAAAAGGATAATACTATAATAAAACAATAAGAAGTACACTGCTATTTGTTGAAAACATATTTTGGTTTTAAACCCTTGGAAGTTGGAAGGCACATAAATTAGGCAAAAACCGTAAAACCCTCACATACGCACGCACAGAAATGGCGACTGCAGCAGCCGCAGCTCGATCTGTTTTCCGATCAACTTCTCTCCGTAACGCGGCGGCGAGGGCAGCATCCCAACCTAAAGCTGCGCCCTCTGCCTTTGGCATCCCTAGTCGGAATTCTCTATCTCAACGCATTTTCCGGTAATTAGTTATACGCATTCCCTCTCATATACGCTCCTCCACTCCCATGGATATGCTACTTTTCAAGTCCAAATTGATTTGAGTTTTGAAACTTTTGGTAAAAACAAACTTGCGAAGTGAATTGATTTTCTGTTCGCTTTCCAGTTAAATCGATATTCACTCTGTGTATACAAAGTACTAGATCCAGGTGTATCCTGAATTGAAAAGACTATCTGTATACATACATAATTATTTCATCCGTTCAAGTATGTAATGATTGGAAACTGTTGTTGGGGAAGTATTGCAGTTGTCCAGTAGAAATGAGTGCTTGTTTGGAGTCAATGCAACCTTTCCACACTGCTACTGCTTCGGCCTTGATGACATCCATGCTTACCCTTTCTCAAAACGGCTATGGTTGGCTCCCCGAAGGTGATAATTCAGTTTCCATTTATCCGCTTCTTTACATTGTTTAGCCTACAAATTCACTCATATCCATTTTGTGCAAGTCCTCACTCATTAAATGTGTAAAAGTCGATTGTTGTTAGTATGTGTTTCTGTAAGAGGGTTATGTAAATTTCATGCTATTTTCGACTTCCTTTTCCAAGATTGGATGGGTAGTTTTAGGGTTCATCGATCCAAAAACTCCTCCTCTAAAGTCTTCTCCTAATCATTTGGATATTTTTTTTCCTTCTTATTGATTAGGTATCTAACGAAGCGTCATAGGTCCCTCAATGTTCTTACCTCATGAGTTTTAGGTAAGTTTATGGAAATGGATAGGCCTTATTGAACCCTAGAACCAACATTCTTATTTTCATTTTCTTACCAAAACTTCCCAATACCTTTTCCATACCCTATTTTTACACCCATCACAAAATCTTTGTGTCTTGATAAATACAAGTTCATTTTCCTTAATAAAGTGGTGTACATGCTTCATTTGTAGGCGTTGACAAGACGAGATGAAGATGGAGAGAAGCAAAGATGGAATGAGTTGGACTTGTATTTTTTTTTTTTTTTTGAATAGGGAACATTTAGGTCCATTAGAGTTATATTTCGTGAACCAATAATGAAATATAAACTTTTGAAATGAATTTACCAGTTTGATATTGTGTTGGATTTTATGACATGGCTCACATTGATTTTTGTAGTTTTCAAATTCAAGTATACCATTATATGTAGTTGTGTATATGCAATTTGGTTTAGAGCGTGTGAAAAACAGACACTAATTTACTGTGTGTTGATCAGCTTGCAACAACGATGCATGATGGTTGAAGGAAGTTGAGAAAAGTAAGGAAATGAAGAAAGACAGATTGGAATTGGATGGATGAAGTTGGTATTTAGGTTCTGAAAGATGTGAACAATTTAAGGTTGTGAGAGATGCATTTCATTGCTATTTGATCTTGCAATATATACAGACAGACTTACACTGTTTTTATGGCTTTCAATCCAATGATTTTGAATCCAATTCTAATATAACCTTGTTTTTAAAGTAAACAAAAGAAATGAAATAAAAGAAGCAACCATGATCGATCCATCAAGTGAAAGTGATGATGAGACTTATTGATAAGTTACACGTAATAATACCAACGAATAAAATCATGCCAGCTAGTACAGCTTTCTCCTTTGAGTTTTGAGCAGTATGTTCGTATCTTTATCGCTCAAATAAAATCTTGACAAAAAAATAAAAAAAAAGTAAAAGAAAATCTTGTTCTGGGTGGGTCTAATTCATTCCCTCCTTACAAGTTACAACTCCAAATGTTCACATATTATAAATGCAAAATTGGTGTTATTGTAAGAAAAAAATCAAAGATGATCAATGATGGCTTTAGTGAAGTCAGTGGTTGTTGATGATCCCCCAAGATCACCAGTCCTGTACTTCCCTTCTGCAATTGTTTTCAACACAGCCTCCTGAATCTGATCAGCTTTTTCATTAAGATCCAAATGATGAAGCATCGACACAGCACTCAGTAACAATGCAGTTGGGTTTGCCAAATTCTATATAAATTATATAACCATAAGTCAATAATATTATTAAGTCAAAGTCAAAGTCAACAAATACCAACCTTTCCAGCAATATCAGGAGCTGAGCCATGAACAGCTTCAGCAAGAGCAATACCACCCTCTCCAATGTTCAAACTGGGTGTTAACCCTAATCCTCCAATTAGCCCAGCACACAGATCACTTATGATGTCACCATAAAGATTTGGCATCACTAAAACATCAAACAGTGTTGGATTCTTCACTAGCTGTCATCATTTATAATGTTAATGTCATATTTGAGCAATGAAATATATATATTTAAATAAAGGGATAAGAGGTTATATTCATACCATCATACAGCAATTGTCAATCACAACTTCCTCGTATTTAATCTCAGGGTATTTCTCAGCAACTTCACGACAACACTACAAGTGAGACAAAAAATAATAATAATAATAATCAGTATAATCCCCTGTAAAAATAATTAAGTTTTTTTATATATAATTTATTGGAAAATAGTAATACCTTCAGGAACAGACCATCAGACATCTGCATGATGTTGGCTTTGTGTACAGCAGATACCCTCTCCCTTCCATGGGCTTTAGCATAATAAAAAGCATATTCAGCCACCCTTAAACTGGCTTGACGTGTGATGATTTTAAGACTTTCAACAACTCCTCTCACCACCTATAATAATCGTTAGCTTTTGTAAATAAATGGGAATGATCTATACTTTTGAAGTCATTTTATTATGATATGATGAAATGAATCAAATCATATATGCTTACTTGATGTTCAAGACCACTGTATTCTCCTTCTGTGTTTTCACGAATAGTGACAAGGTTTACATCATCATAACGAGTCTTGTAACCAGGTAGACTGTAGCATGGTCTAACATTGGCATATAAGTTGAGTTCTTTTCTTAGGGTGAGGTTTAAGGAACGATGACCTTTACCAATTGGTGTAGCCATTGGGCCTTTTAACCCCACTTTGTTTTGTCTTACTGATTCTAGACTTTCCCATGTAACAAAGCTTTGAGTTCTTGGATCAACTTCTGTCCCCACAAAATGTTCTTCCCATTCGATTGGGACATCTGCAGCTGTGAATACCTGCAAATTGTGAAAGGAAACTTAACATCGCAATAGAGTTAACATTCTTTGTTGTTGAATCGAATTTGTAGCGATTTCACCCCCATGAATCTAACATGTTCATAAGTTCCATTGTTAGTTCGGTAATTAACTGCTTCGTTAGCCAACGATGTTTAAGGTCTCTATCAACGGAAGTACAAATTAGCTAGAACTATATCAATTGGTACAAAAGGAATCTAACAGTTATTAACTTTTGTGGAATCTACAAAGAAAAAAAAGTAAAAGTGTAAAACATTGAAACGCTTAAACCCTAAGCATAATATAACTATAGAGGAAGAGAAATGACACGATGAAATCCTAAACAGAAAAAAAAAAGTCAAAACATCACAATACTTCTACATGTATAAACAATAATCTGAGCATGAAATAAAACTGTTTGGACCTGTTTCACGGATTCGGCGATCTCGGGACCGATACCGTCGCCGGGGAAGAGAGTGGCGCGGATCAGATTGGAGCTGGAAGAATAGTTCCGATCGATCGATGAGAACAGTCCTAAACTAGGGCTTCTCGACATCGTGAAGACTTCATTGGTTGCGCGGCTGCGAAGGAGGCGTTTCGCAATTTGAAAAGCCATCGTTAACAACTCGCTGACTGAAAACAAGATCGGAGGTGACAAACTCAAATTACAGAGATTTTGAGGAATTGAGATGAAAAGAAAAGAAGGAATATAATTGCATTATTGGGGGAAGAAGGGTCTAATATGCTGCAATCGGGTCCACTGTTAAAATATTGTAATTGGGTGTTTAGATATTTGTTTTCAAAATTCCAGTTTTAGGAAACTACATCTGTCTAAAAGCTAACTGCGATTTCTTTAAGATTCAATCATTTAATTTCAGTTTTATTCATTTGCCAACAAAGATTTATTTACAGGATATGGACAAGGTTGATTGGTGCTTTACATATTTTATTATTATTTAATAAGTTTATGAAATTATGAGGAAAATCAAATATATTTTTTTTTCATATTGACATATTATATTTTGTCACTAAACCATTAGATCATACATTTTGGTTTTTGAAATTTTGGTTTTTGAATGGATATGAGAATAACATGTTATGGATCTAACATGGTCTTCCTTTTCACATATTTGAAGATTTTAAGAGTTGTGTTTCAATGTTGGATAGACAATTTTAAAATTGACTAATGCAAAATAGCAAAAAACTATAAAATATGTATGAAAATTAAACATGTATTTATACAATTTGTATTTGATAGTTTTGGTTATCTAGTATATGGAGATCCTTAATAGAATCTAAGAGATCATACATACTAATGTGATGACTATAAGACTTAAATTTTATGGATGTAGTTTTTAAAAGAATTACTTTTGCAACCTATAAAACATTAGCAATACAATTTGTTGTCTATTTTTCTTTCATCTCTATGTAATTGTGTTCATTAAAAAATATTATAGTCTTATAATGATTTAATTTCTATTTTGATGTTTGTGTGGAAATCATTAATCCCATTAGGCCTTTTTTTTTGAGGCAAGATGTTAAGTTTGGGTGTCTTGATACCTTAAAGGTGAGTCTTCACTCTTGACTAGGCACATTCTAGTTACATACACCCAAACTTTGAACCTAGTCAAATTTTGGACTTAACGAGCTTTTTCCCTATAGATTTTATATTAATGAATCCATACTAGTATACTATCTTTGATGGATCTTGTTCCTTGATGGGTAGGTCTATAACAAGTCCCCCAAGCTTATGTCTTCGTTTTTTTCCTGTTGTTTTATTTATTTTCCGATTTACATTTCCCTAGTAATTTACTAGAAAAGATAGATGTGTCTTTAAGAGGCCATCTTAGAACGACTGAATATATATATTTGTATAACATCACTTGTGCTTTAGAATAGTCAAATATATACAAATATGAGTACATACAATAAGCAACGTGCCTTTGTGCACATGGAAACATATGTATATACAATTACATAGAGTATTTGTTACTCTTATTATTCATAAAAATGATTTGACTTGACCTGCAGACTTGCCATTTAGTTAAAAAAATAAAATTGAACCAATCTTAAATCCCTAGAAGTTGGCAAGTTGTAGTTTGACAATTTGTCCATGAGTCCAAACTAATTTGCCCCTTATATAATGTGAAAATCATATAATTCCATCGGGAATAAGGTTGAAAACCACTTCTTTTTTTGGTTCTTGAAGAGGAGGGCATTTCCAAAAGATCAAATTGATCATATATCGATTGCCCAACAAATAAAATATTCACCCGATTCAAAAGACGAAAATCAACCACCCAACAAATCCAATCTTCAGCTAGTTCAAAAAAAGACGAAACTTGAATATTCCACAATCTAGAAATTATGTACCATAAGGAGTCGCCATTTTGGTGCAATCAAAACTCTTTTTTTCTTTTTAGTGAAAAATAAGATTTGAAACCTAAATACAATTAGACGAGTGAAATATCATATTATTAAATAAATGAGTTAAACATTGAAAACATAAAATAAAATAAGCACTTAATAAATAACAAGTGGATGATATAAAAATCAAAATATACGATGTTTTTCAATAATAATAACACAAATGTAATTTCATATAGTAATAAATAGAAAAATGAGGTCCGATTAAAAATGATCTAAGGTAGTTATTGCATTAGAATGCATAACTATCAAAGGTCAAACTAATTAGTTATTGCATTAGAATGTATAATCAATGGCCATTTTGACTTTTACCCTTAAATATATGTCAAAGGTCAAACTAATTAGTTTATATAGTGCCTCTTTAAGGTTTAAAAAAACCATACTCGACATTATGACATTATATATATTCAATAAAAATTAACTCATATATATAATAATTGAAAATGGAAGGCTATAATATTATTATTCTCGGCTGTCGGCACCATCAAACCATACATTATTCTTAATCAATTTATAAAGTGATATAATAATTAATGCGTTACAAATCTATAAAAACGATCGAACAAGCATTCCAACATGCAGGATCTGTAACTCATAAAGATAAAAAATATTGTAGTGTGAATTTTCATTTAATAAGAGCTAGTGGTCGACTAAGGAGGTGGAGAGAATTTAGTGGTGGTCGGAGCCCGAAGGAGGTGGAGATTGAGGTGGTGATGGAGGTTTTTGTGGTGATGATGTTGGCGGTGATGGTGGTGTCATGGTGGGGCTAGGGAATTGGAAAGGGACTTTGGGTACGAGAAAGTTGAACGGACTGATCATGCCGGCGTGGACTTCACCGGTGTTAGAAAATAAGAGTGCTATAAGTAGGAAAGAAAAGACGAATAGCTTCAACGGAGCCATTTTTCTGAGAAGTTAATATTGTAATTTCAGTTTTGTATGTGGTTTTATTTGTCTTGGATGGATTAGGGTTCCATGGATGCTCACTTTTTGTAGAGGTGGGTATCAACCAAATCTTTCGTTATCGATTTAAATTATATATCATCTCTAAAAAATTATATATCATCTCTAAAAAATTATTTATAGAGGTGGGTGTCAACTTCATCGTCGATGCTTTGGCTCATTTGGAGCTTTGGGTATCTTTTAGGAGTTTGGGCCTCCTTGGATTAAACCCAAAGATGGGTTTTGGGCCGATTAGGAAGTTGGGCCTTAGTGGGATTTTGATGCTATTGGTGGGCCTCAGATTTGGGCCAAGTGAGGAAAGGGTAAATGGACTTTTACCCTGAGTGTTGAACAATCGGACTTGAACCCTAGCTTTGGGTTGTGGACAAATTATTAATTTTGCATTATTTGTTGGTGTTAGTGTGAGGATTTTCCGGATCGGCAGTCCGAGCTTTTATCTGAGATATTTAGTAGTTTGAAGTACGTTTCCTCACCATGTTTAGCTGGTCTAAGACACCAATGTCGGCCCATGGTTTGTTATGTAGGATGTTAGACATCTGCATGACTCTTGCATGTGTATGTGCTTGTTATGATTATATGATTTGTACGTGGGCGGGGCCTGTTATGAGAGTTTAGGCGGGGCCCGTTATACTATGTGGGTGGGGCTCGATTATACTCGGTGGGTGGGGCCCATTAGATTCAGTGGGTGGGGCCTGTTATAGTATGATACGTGGTATTTTGGGGGACTCACTAAACTTTGTGTTTATTATTTTCAGTTTATGTTTCAGGTACTTTTGGTCTCAAAGAGAAGAGCCCGTAATGATTGCAAAGCACACACCACTTAATTCCGCATTTTGTGATTTACTATGATAATTATAATGTACCGATAAAATTTGATTACCTTGGTTTTATGACAATGATATGGTTTACTATTTTATGAATGTAAAAATGAAAAAATTTCGGGTCTTATTTTTGGGACGTTACAAGTTGGTATCAGAGCCCTTGTTTGAGGGATTCAGACATACTCTCGGGTGTGTCTGAACTCAAACTGAGGGGTTTGGCAAAGTTTTTCAAAAAGAAATGTTAAAAAAAAGGTTTTCTAATACTAGAAAGGGTGTGGTGCATGCAATCGACCGATGTAACGCCCGTAGATCCGGGCGAGTCAGTTTACAGATAATAGAGGTCGAAAACGACTTTTCGACAAAAGATTATTTAGAATAAATAATGTTAACCAAGCTGTAGAATATGTCTCAAGGGTTCCGTACATACAAAGAACGCCAAAATCCGAGTTATAACGAAGAAGTTATGGCCCGTCGAAGTTTTACGGTAAAATCGGCACAGCACCGAGAAGCGTAAATAGTGAATTTACGATAGAGATATATTTAGCCTTAGTGATCTAAACGAAATTCGTAGAATACATTAAACCGAGAGCGTCCATAAAAAGAACGCCCAAATCTGAATTTGTATGAGGAAGTTATGATTTTTCGAAGTTTCGGCTTAACAATGTACAACTCGTTGTTCGAATATTAGATCGAGCGGTTTTTAGCCGACACATCCTAAATGAGAATTGAAGATCTCATTAATAGGAGCGTAACAGTAAAAAGACAGATGAAAACGGACGTCGGATGAAGAAGTTATTGATTTTTAACGGACCAATTATGTCCCGGCCTGTTAAAAATATAACTTTTAAAATAAAGTCAAAATTAGCCGATGGAGTCTAAACGAAAGTTGTAGAGTATGTTCCCTTCTACGCGTGGATATAAAGAACGTCGAAAATGGAGCTCGTATGTGAAAGTTATGAATTTTTGAATTCGGGAAGGAAAATTATGAAACCTAATGCGAACTGGATGATGTGGCAGCATCTGGGTCGTAGCTTGTTGATTACGACTCAGCCATCAAATTCGGACACCTGGTCTCGCTACGCCTCGCGTACAAAGGAATGCCCAGTGTCCGAGGAGTGCCCTGCGTCCGAAGGGAACGTTGCGCGTACACCAAGCCTCCTGCGGTCCGAGAAATGGCCACGATGCACCACCAGCAAAGCGACATGTCCCACTACAAACACTCCGCGTCCGAGGCTACACCCTGCATAGACCGAGGACCTCCAGCCTATAAATTGAATGCGAGATTTCCCGGATTTTCACATAAAAATTCATACTCTCTCTCACTACTTTCTCTCTCTAGCCTATCCTAACCCCCTAAACCCTAGGGAACCCCCTAGCACCCGAAGGAAGCCCCGAGGCTCCCAAAGTCCCGAGAAAAAGGGTCTTTCGGGTCGGAAACGCTGCTCCAAGCGAAGCCCGATTTTCTATAAAACCCGCCGTAAGTGAGTTACGCCTACGCTATTTTTAATATAGCTTTTATTTAATTATAGTAACGTTATTAGGAACTTATAATAAGTACTTGGCTATTATTATGGGATATATAAGTATTGTTTAACGTTTGTATAATAGTAATAATAGCTAGACTATTAATTATTCCCGATGAATATTAGACTAAACTCTAGTGGTAGTGATACTAGGTTTTGTCCGAGGAAAATTATGTTAAGAGTAACGAAGTGTTGTCCGAGTGCCGAGTCACCACCTTCTCAGGTGAGTGCATGGTCCCTTTCATCTTACACATAGATATGAAGTATTTTTTTATAAACTACGTGTTATGTGTGCATATTATCTGTATAATTGCTATCTATGCTGGATGAACGATTTTATAGAAGTTTTATATAATTTAAAGTGTATATGTATTTATATCTACATAATATGTTGGGTAAAACATGGGTAGATGAAATATGAGTTGGATGATGAGTTGAGAGGTGATATAGACTAAGATGTAAGGGTAAGAGGTGGACGATGTGAGAAGCCTTGTTCCTAAATGATGGCCCCGTCATCTAGCAGAGTATGGATGACACCCACAGACTATTCTAGACAGTCCAGTGGAACACTAGAAGGCTCGCAACTTGTAGGTGTTGTAAACGATGTGTTCACTTGGTGTACTCTAAACCTTGGCGATCATGCAGACTTGATGCCTAAACCATGGTGACTATGCAGACTTAGTGCCTAAACCTTGGCGATCATGCAGATTTGATGCTTAAACCCTGGTGACCATGCAGACTTGGTGCCTAAACCCTGGCGACTAGGCGACTTAGTGCCTGTCGAGTAAATCCTAGCAACGATGGATTTCGTGCTGATTCCTTAGAATGATCCTTAGGAATTAATGAATGAGGAATGGCTAATTCTTAGGGTAGATTCTTAAGAGTAAAGAAGATAATGGGGATGGGTAATTGGGTTGATTGTTTGACATTTAAACATAATTATATTATTATGGATTGAAAACCCTATGTATTCACCAGGTTTCCCAACCTGACACACTCAGTTTATTTATATCACAAGTGTTGATATGAAGTCACATTATACTGAGAAATTAAGGAGATATAAATCACTAGTGATAATGTTTGTAAGTTCTGTTTATGCTCATATTTATGTATTAACGATGACATCCCAAATGTTTTAAAATGAATAAAAATACTTTTCTTCGGAAATGCCTTGATAACGTATTTATCAAGTTTTACTAGGAACAAATTCCGCAACATTTTTATTAAAAGAGGTACTCTGATTTTTATAAAGCATAAACAAAAATCGGTCTTTTCTGGCTGTGAAAATGGGGATGTCACAACCGAGCTCAAGTAAGTTTTCCCCAAAGTACACATACATTTTATCTGATATGATTTGATTTATGAATCTGTGAATCACATGTTAGTTAAGGCTAAGGATCTGCTTAGTGTTTGCATGATAGAATGTTAGGAGAGATGCCTTGTATGCCTATTGTATGAGCTTGTAGACTTTCATGGTAGTTCTGATTAGTCAGTGATAGATTGGTTTGATGTGTGTTGCCATGTAGCCTAGGAAGCATGTGATGCTAGATTGGGTATAATTTGTATGCGTAAGGCAATCGACAACGAGAGTGGAAGTTCCTAGCATGAGTTGTAGTATGTGAGATGGATGTTCTTGGTTATTCTATGGATTGGAATGTTATTGTATGAATATTGATTGCTTTTTGCTTTATGGAACTCTTAAGTGATGTAAGTTAACTATTAAGTGAATATGTCAAGTCACATGTGACAAGGGTTGGATAATCTTAGAGTGACGGATTTGACCATATTGCGCAACTCTTGTTTGAGTCTAACCATTGTAGGGATGAGTCTTTTACTCGAAGGATTATCTAATATTCTTGCATTTTTTTGTATTCATGAGGTGGGTAACTGACATTATAGGGTGTTCTTCAAAAGCTGATGGCAGGGTGAGGTTGGAAACCTAGGAAAGCCTATGAAGTGCTTCGGTAGATTTAGTTGTGCTATTTACCGAGCATTGTAATATCGTTTGAGATTGTGACTTATATGATTATGGATGATTCTTGAGGAAAGTATGGATAGGTGTGGAAGGTAGTATTTGGCCCATACTACTTAAAGCATAGGATCCATACTCGAATCGGGGAGAGTATTGGAGAATCTAGGAAGCCTGTGGGATGAGGATTCTTAGATATGTTCTGATTATTTATATGGTTGTTCGTCAAATTGGTGATGAGCACTCAGGAAGGAGGTTCGAGTTCGGATTCAAGCTCGTGCAGGTACTGGGTCGATCAATGAGCACATGCGGGAGTTCATCTCATCGGAGGTTACCTATCGTATTTTGGAATGGACTCCTGTGATCTTTGGTTCAGTCAAGGAGTGGATTTTGGAGCTCTTGGATGGTCATCTCGGGGCTTTTAGACCGCGATTGTAGCGGGGCAGTTAGGGGCTCATATGGAGCCCAAGCTAGTGGAACCATCGAATCCTTCAGGAAGGAGGATCCTATTGCTAGTTCTTGTCATATGGGATCGGAGGTGGGTTATGCACCATGTTTTTAGGGGGATCGTTCCCATGATTGGATTGCCACAGAGGTTTCGCGAGCCTGACGCGAAGAGTTACTCGATCATTGGGCTGATAGATTGGTTGCCAGGTTCGAGGGTCGCACCTTGGCTGTTTAGACAGTTAATGGGATGATCGAGGTAACCCAGGAGCAGAAGATTGATTCGAATAAGAAACTAAGGAAGAGGAAGGGGACTCCTGGTCCAACTCGACGATCTAAACAGTTAGACATCGTCATGGTTAATATGAGAGACCCGAAGGGCCGTGATGGTTGCACGAAGGATGAAGGGGCACGTGAGCATGTATGCGATAAGTCTAAGTGCAGCAGGTGTGGATGGGAGGGCCACATCCTCCAAGAATGCACCCTGGAGGTAGAATTGTGTCATCATTGTCATCAGTCTGGTCATTTTAGGGCGAATTCCCACACTTAGTGGTTGGGACATCTCATGTTCTATTGCAGGTGCTTCGACAAGAAGAGAAGGACATGATTTCTTCAAATGAAATTTCGGGTATATTATCTCTTGCTCTTCTCTTGATTATTATCTATATATATATTGCTTTCATATCTTGTTGGGTATGGGTAATTATTATCTCCGGGTTAGTTTTCTGTTTTTACCTAGGTTATATTATCAAGAACTGTTATATGCTTTTTTGCATGCCAAGAGTCATTCATGGGTCGTATCTTGCTGAGTGAGATTCCGTTGTTTGGGTGATTGTTCCGGTTTTTTGTTGGGTTCAGTTCAGTGATTTTAGAGTGGTTCATACGATCACCACTAGACCATATTGATGGCAATAAAATTTTTGAATGGTTGATTTGATATCCAAGTCTAAACAACCTTAGATAACAGCTTACATAAAAGAAAATGCATAGATTTCATTAGATGATAGCAAATTTATAAAGAAAAATACATTTTATATGTTCTTATAATAATAAAAATAGTATTCAATTATTCACTATGGATAAAAATTTGAATATTAATGGTATATCTTTATAGTGTAATACACATAGATAATACATATTATTGTGACAAATAATGTTTAATATATATTGAAATGAGTAAGGATTTGAAAAACAAAGACCCATCATTGGACATGAAGCAAACATTTTGAAAGAAATTCCATCAAATAAAAGGAGTTTACATTTCTAATATCTCTTGATACCTTTAGTTTTAATAGTATAATAAAACTAAATTTATGTGTAATTGGACCATGGACTATTTTCTTGGACCATTGATTTCAAAAGGGTAATAAGTTAAAGAATGGATGACTATGTGTCTACTAATATTGTGTTCATGCTTGTTTTTGTATTCACATATAACCATATAAGTATGTATTTACAACAATCAATATGGGATGAGAAAATGCTTCAACAAAAGGAGAAACAATGTTGGTTCGTATATGTTTATTATCTAATAGACTAATATTGCTCAGGAAATATAATAGAAGTGAAATGAGACATGTTACTAAGGAGGCTAAAATCATTTGCTTTGTATATTTAATCCCTTGTCTTTTTTACTTCTATTGGAAATGATGATCATAACTGGCTCTAAGATTGGTCGAAAATCCATTCTGATCAACTATTGTTTTGTAAAATTAGGATAAGTTCCCAATGGTGTTCACTTATATTATTAAAAAAAGTAATAAGAACTGCATCGATTTGTAATTATAAGAGAGAGATATATAGATATATATATTAGATAACCTCAATTATATCATCATATTAAACAATAATACAGTTTTTGTAATCATATTTAACACTAATAATTATAAAAAATGTTAAACAAAAATCGTTAAGAATCCATTCAACCTGAGTCCATCCATTTAAAATTACCAAAAGAATGAATGTTTTGACCCATAAACCAAGTGACCGGAACTAGCAAAAGCCAGGATACGATTTGATTCTAAGACCCTAGCTATAAGTTTTTTCACACATATTGACACCTAAAATTTTCCTAATTCGCTTTAGGAGTAATGTACTCCTCACCTGTAGTGAATTTTTTTGGTCAAATCAAGCAAATTATTACCATAGTAACAAATTACAAAGGGTACAAGCGAAAGTGTTAGCCGAAGGTATATAATGTGGGTTTACTTATTATTTACAACAACATAGTGAAAGGTTCAACACACAAACATGACACAATTGAGTTGTTCTCTCCTTTCTCTGGCTTTAATGACATGGTGACGTATATAATATCAAGATAGACAATGCCCCAAGAATCATCTAATTACTCATATTTTTTTACTCTAAAACAAGAGGAAAGGATAAATCAAATAGTTATAGTTAAAGTGTATATTCATTTGTATTAGCCAACAAATCTCATCAAAACCAAAGATAATCAACCACAAACATAAACTCATGTAGTAAAAGCAAAATTTATATATGTAATGTTTGTTCATCTATTTACATTAGAAGCCAACTAGAAACAAAGATAAGAGTGTTTGTTCATACTTGTAAACCTTGTCCTATTTTACCTTGTAAAGTTGTAAAGTACATATGTTATATGTATGTGCGCTAATTTGAACCCAATACTGGCATTCCTGTGAGGTTATGAAATGATGAAAATAATGAAGGGTTTGATCTTAAATGAGGGGCTGGAGCACGCAAAGTATGGCCACTTGTTGTACATCGGTTCTGTGATTGTACAAGTGTCGATGCAGGGATTTCACGAATCCTCACTCCCCTCATTTCTGTAAAATCAAAACAAATACAAAAAATAATCAACTTATGTTTAAAATTTTAATGGGTGAATAAAAGATTCCAACTCCCATAACCTTTATCAAGATAATCATCACAATCCTTTGTTAAAGTCTCAGCCAATACTTTATTGGCATACGCAAGATCATAATATCCTTCTAGAACCTTCATCTTTTTTGTTAGACACATCTCAGATTCATCTATCAAAGCATCGTACTTTTTCCGTATCTCTAACATCTCTTTTTCACACTCCGAATTTAGCATCGATTTCTACAAATAAAATAATAATCATTAGATTATATGTATCATGTATCATGTATGTATGTACAATTTTTTTATAGGAAACCTTTTGTTGATGTAGCTTTGTGGCTTGCTCTTGCTCCTTCTTGATATTTTGTAGCTCTGTTTCAAGAGGGGTAGTAATGGAATTTTGATCAGAAACCAATGGTATCATGGGTAAAGTTTGTGGTTGTGGAGATTGATTGTTTGGGGATTCACCAACATTATTTGTACTTGAAAATGAAGGAATTGAATATGGTAATTGTGTTGAATGATGTATAAAAAAAATTTTGGATGCCCCTGTATGAAAAATGTCACCAAATTAATAACACTAACAAGATATATAAATGATAAAAATCAAACATATATTGTTTTCTAAACTCCAATTTTCTTGTATACCTATCATTTTGCGTGCTTTTCTTTTACTCCTCATTTTTGTTCTCACAAAAGTTGAAGTAATTACATTCTTCTCAATAGTCTCTGTATCGCTTTCACTTTCAACTTCAAATCTTCCAAACCAGTAATAAGGGTTGCAGAATGACATTTTTACCCTCCGAGGTAGCCTGCTAGACGATTTTTGCGGTGTATGGATATGATGAGTTTCTTTGAACAAATTACTCCAAAATTATTTGGTTCATTTTCCATCAAGTACTCATCAATTGAGCAACTTTCCTTTGTGTGTGCTTCAGTTTCACCCATCAATAAGATATCTTTAGAATAAATTCCATCGTGTATCGTTGCTTTTGAAATGATTAAGCTTTTTAAACAATCAGTATTCTCAGTTTTATTCAGAAACATAGATGATAACTCGAGAACCAAATCATCTAAACTAGTGTCTGACTTTGACTTTGACTTGGTGGAGAGGTTATTGAACAAGTAGGATGCACCCCATGAAAGGAGCCGATGGCAAGTATTGTAATTAATGCAAGCTGTTCTGCTGTCGAGAATCGTGCCTTGTTTTGAAAGAATGAGAGATTTTTCTTCAATGGTGAAAGAGGAATAAAAGCGGAAGATTCGTAAATGCGAAGAATCGAGAGAAAGCTTGTGAAGGGCTTTTAAGTCATCTGAAGGGTTCCAGTCGCTGTTTAATAGTATGACTATATCCACCGATGAAAGTCTAATCGTTGATTGACAATCGTGATAATCTAATAAGCAAACAAACGCTCCACTCTCGATGTTGCTGAACATGTTTACAGCCTCTTTTCTCTTTGATATTGAAAGAATCTTTGGTTGGATACGTACGTATGAATCTTGCCCAAATCTTCTATCAACAAGATCTTCCAAAATATCTCCAATTGTTATCTTTTCTGAACTAACCACTGACTGTATCCCATGTTAAAAAAAAAGATTATTATTCAACAAAATAGTGTTATTATTTGAAGTATACTTATAAAAGGTTGGTATGTTAGATTACTTGTATAATTTAAGAGATATGAAATAAGTAATTATAGAAACTACAGGGACCCAAACTGTAAGTTTAGAATATAAAAACCTGGACCAAAAGTGTAGAGCATTGAAAACTATAGTGACCAAAAGTTTAAGTCACTCATTTATTGAAAATTAAAAACTACACTGACCAAAAATTAATTTCGGATAATTAAGACTACAGGGACCAGAAATGTAATTCATGCAAACTAAAAACTTCAGGGACCAAAAATGTAATTCCAGAAAATTATAACTATAGAGACCAAAAGTGTCTTTTTACTTATTTCCTTCTTGGTGATTTAAAGTACATTGACCAAAAGTGTAATTCCGGAAATTTTAAACTACAGGGACCAGAAATGTGATTTATGTAAACTAAAACCTCAGGGACCAAAAATGTAATTTCGGAAAATTAAAACTTTATGGACCAAAAGTGTCTTTTACTTATTTCCTTCTTGCAGATTAAAAAAATACATGGACCAATTCCGGAAATTTAAAACTATAAGGACCAGAAATGTGATTTATGAAAATTAAAACTACATGGACCAAAAATGTAATTCTAGAAGATTAAAACTACAGGGACCAAAAGTGTCATATTGTTAATTCCTACAAGTTAAAAGGTACAAAAATTACCTGAAAAAGAACAATTACTCTCAAACCATATCTTTTGATTTTTAACAAAAGCTTATCAAGAAGTTGAAGCTTCCCACTTGCATTAATTTCAGCACCCAATTTATCAACATCTTTCTTCAAAGATTTACGCAGAGTGGGGTCCACGAGATACGGGTGATCACAGCACTGCGAAAATAAATAATTATCAATGGATCGAATTAATTTATGAATTATTCACAAAAATAGAAATTTTCAGAACAAATTCAAACCTTCTGAGTTTTGGTAAGAATGTCATGAAGTGTAGCGTTGTTCCTTGAAGATGATGAAAGTGAAAGTGACTCAAAGTTGGAATTCAACAAGGAACAATATTGTTCCATTTGCATATGAGAAAGATGAAGTGGAACCCAATATTCTTCAATTTCAGATGAATTAAATTTTAATTCAAATGCAATAAAAGGCGATAGTTTTTCTTTCAATGTGTTGGCGTCCATGTCAGCATCCGTGTGTGTCTCTTCATATTTGGAATCAAGCAACGAAAGAAAATTTTGGTAGCTATGCTTCACATCCTGAAATTACACAAATTAGCTAATGATAATATGAAAATAACTTTTGAAAAAAAAATAAGCATACCAATATTTCACTAGTAATTGTTAGCAGCTTCATATCTGACACAAGCATTTTAATTTCCTTGAAATGCTTTGAGATTATGGGGCGTTGACATTCGTCTATTACTATCAATTCCCATTTTATGTGATCAAGCTTTTCAAAATCCTGTAACATGGGAAAATGAAAATACAAAAAGATTATATTATTATTATATACATATACATATATGATATACTTCAGATGTTATTAGTTTTGTACCTCAACAATGGCATCAGGAGAAGATAAAATGACTTGAAACTTTATAGATCCATTTTCAGTGTAGAATTGTGAGGATCTAATTGCATCTCTCACATCTTTGTTCTCTTTATATGTTATTACAACAACATTGGTTGAATTTGACCATTTGGAAAATTCAGATTCCCATAATGAAAGACATCTTGAAGCAGTTAAAATTAAAATAGGTTGTTTCACTTTTTCCAGCAATGATAATACAAAAAACACCACTTTAGTTATCCGATCCTAAAACATCCAAAATATAATGTTTAGTATGAATCCGTTAAAGAAATAAAGAGTATTGTAGATAAACAAGAAATTGTTTCACCTGTCCATCAAAGAAGACAGAATTCTGACCTTTTTTCCAATAATCACAAAGTTTGTTAACATGATCATGGACTTCACTTGATACCTTCAATTGAAACTCTGCCAGCTCAGCACTGCAATGTAATTTTATTGTGTGTTTCATATATGGAATAAAAATCCTTTGACACCACCAAAACACATCAAGGTATTATTGCAAGATTCAAGATTTTTTACCTATGGTTTTTTTCATGTTTAGAATCCGAGCAAGATTTCATGACAATTGTTGCATCAACTTTCATTGAAGCATCAAATGTGGTAATATGATCACCTCCTTGAGATATCTCCTTCATCTTTTTCCCAGCAATTTGGAACAACTTTTTGTATGTGTATGCATCTAATCTCTTCCCTTTGCCAAGCCTTTCTCTTTTCTTTAACATTGAAATACTTGAAAACGAATTCTCTTTGTTCATCTTAGTAATTCTTCTACACGGGTGTTGCTTGTTTTTCTGTGTTAGATCTTCTTCAACCTGCATAAGTTGGATATTGCTATGTGAGCAACATTGTGTTCAATACTCTATTGAATATCCATATTTGCTATACTTTTTCAGCCATAAATCTTTGTATATATTTTCCCACAACTTATGAACAATAACGCCAAATTTTAGTTAGGAAATGCAGAATGCTTCATACAGATGAATATATAACATATAGATTCCAAAAAGGGCATAACCAAGAAAACACCAAAAACCCCTAAATTAACACTTACATAGACAGCATATACTGTTTTCTACAAAGTGAAGAGAGAAACAAAAATGGGATATTCAGGCTGTTGGACATTTGCTATAAACCCTATTATCAACTAATCTAAATTACATATCAATATATCACTATACAAAAACTTTGATATCCCCTGCAAGCGAAACATGAAGCTTGGACTGAAGATAAACAAATCGAGTAGAAGAAAATCCTTGGTCTGAGTCATAGTAGGGATAGATCGCACCTATAGAGTCTGTGATATAGGAGCAGTCGCCGGTGGCGGAGGTGGTGATGGAATTTGGAGGGAAGAGTAAGAATCGTAAGGAGATAGTGATAATTTGGTATTTGTAGGGTTTTCAGTTGGATCACTGACGCTTTTTATGATATTTGTATGATCTAAACATGAATCTATCAACTAGTAAATTGATTCATCATAGCATGAAACAGAGAAAAGCAAAAATGAAATATAAATAACACAGAATTGAGACAGAACATTGTGCATATAGCAAACATTTACTCAGGGGTCAGTTTGGTATTACCACAGAAGATGGAAGAATTTGATGATGAAGCTGTTTCTGGAAAGACTCAAGTAACTCGAGCAATCATTTGCTTCAACATCAGCGACTAAATCATTCGTGGAGTATTTTCCATTCGAAAACAAGTCCTGATACCATGTCAAACGAGTTAGAACTCTTATGAACAAAGCAAATACGAAACTAAAAGAAGAATCATTAAGTGGGAATTGATCACTATTTTCAAGTACATTCTAATAATCGCAGCTTCCTCAGTCCTCACCCATCAAAAAAATCGAAATGCTAGAGGTGTTTTTAGGGTTTTTACCTTTTAGAACACTTCCATTGATTCATTTGATCATGGAGATGAAGGTATCATTCGGTTAACAAAAAGAAATCTCTGACATGTCAGTCAGAGAATTGCGTCGTGGCCTTGCGGGTTTTCCATTTTAACATACCTTTGCTGGAGGAGAAAATCCTATTTTCAAAGTTCATAATTAAATCAAATTAAACACTATTCTATGATTTTTTTTTAAATATAAAAAATAATAAGTTAAACAAAGTTCTGATTTATTTTAAATATTTTGGTTTAATTAAAAATTATATGAGTACAAAAGGTTTATCATTATGGCATCATTTAATTTCACAATGAAACAAAAGATTTTTTTTTCATAAATTGTAAAATAACAAGTACAAGATAATTATCACACACACGGAATGTGTCACTCTATATTTGTATGCGGTAAACAAAGACCTTTTTTCTAAAAAAAAATCAATGTAGTGCTCTAGCCTCCATTACAATAACTTAAAATTAGTTATACCACAGTTTCACTGTATATATATAAATAAACATGTCTTATTAATTAATCAACTATAGACGTTTTTTCTAAATGATCAACAATAAATTAGATTATTAGGTTGAAACTATCTCCAATTAGTGCCATCATTTTGTAATTATCTGTTACTTCATCAGCTTCTTATTAGTATTTTCAATAATAATAAAATCAGATTTCGAACCTTGAGCTCTAGCCATACAAATGGTAATCTTGCAACTTTACATTCCGTCACACATTTGCAATGTTCTAGCCTTCTAGGGACATTAAAGTTAACCCCTACCCCATACATGTTACATTTGTGGATGTTCAACTTCAATCGAAATGTCAAGCAAAAAACATCGCAACAGCCGAACCACATTGAAGATGTTTTCTTGTGACCATTTTCACATGAAAATAACATGCATAAAATTGTGGAAATTGCAAAATCTGATTCCTAACTTTAGCTCCATGAAAGAAATTTATATCCACAACATCTTCAATGGTGACATGTAACCTTTCTATGCGAGAATAAATAAAAACAAGAATAGAAGCCCTAGCCAAAAAGGAAACATCCTTTAATCCAACTAATCCATCTCTAATCAAAACCCATAAACTCATTGATCTTCTTCAGATAATCTCAACTAGAGAATCATACGTCTTTTTTCATTCAATATTAAAAAGCATAAGTTGTCTTCTTCTCATTTTTATACTATTCCACCGTCTCATTTACAATAAGTGATTTGTCAAGTATTTGGCGTTCCTTGATAAACATTGACGACTCGCTACCGATGACAATATCAACCACTTGAGATAAAATAATTGGCAAATATTTTTGTAATAATCTTATACTACACCAATCAAACTAATAGGATGGAAATTGGTTAGAAGAGTTGGGGTTGCAACTTTTGTAATCAAAGTGATAAAAGAAAATTCACATGACATTTGGCCTTTAACAAAAAATAAAATAACTCATATATCTTTTCAACACTTCCTAATATCTTTTTATAAAGAAAAAGTTGTACACATTTCGGTTTTTCTCGAGCTTTCTCTGGTTTGGAGCGTAAAGTAACCCAACGAAAATCCAATTGCATTCTCTTCCGATTCAAAAGAAAAAAAATTTGATATATGAAAGTGAGTTGCGTGCCTTTTAGCCAATGTACCAAATTGTTTGTGAAAAATACGCCAAACTATAAATCTCTTGATTTCTTTATAAAATTCTCTTCAACCATATTTAACCCAAACAACTTTATAAAAATAAAAAGCAAAAGCACACAAGTTTTCCAAATCAACCCAACATAAATTGATAATACTTGTTAACGAATACCTTGACTCGCTTTAGACGTTGTCAAATAAAGCAAATAATTTATTAAAAATCACGTTGAAACATTCGACTCAGTTTGTACTCGTTTCTATGTGAGAAAAACAAACCAAAAACATGTCTCGTTCGATAGTAGAACATCATGTCGCTAGCATAAAAATATTTACACCACATAACGACATCGATTCAGATCTACCAAAAAAAAAAAAACTTAAAAACATTCCATTATTCTACTTCAAACCCAAATCTAAAAACCACCAGTCCACCACCATCTTCATCATCAACCTCCTTGCTTCCCAATCTTCAACAGTTACAGGCTTTCACAGCAACATCCACCATTCCACGTGTACTCATGCACAAAATCTAAAACCTGGAAGAAGCTAAATAACAAAAGAGTAGAACATCGAGCTGTTCATCAATATCAAACAACTCAATAAACCAACACACAAAAGTCGCCGGAGCCAGAGCCGGAGACTTACGGGCTCCGGCTATACCCGTCCGGAGCCACCGCCATCAACCGCCGCTTGTATCTTTTGAGAACAGACGCCAGATTTTCTTTCCCTTTCGGAAACGCCACGTCACCGGCGGCAGTACCCGGTCGGCCTTTCCGGCAAGAGATGGCGGTCTCCACGTCTTTTACTATGTCCAACAGACTGGCGGCGGTGGTGGTTTTCCCTCTGCTCTGTTTCGCCGGAGGCGGCAGACTGGTGATGGATTTGGGCGGAGATGATCGCAGGTGGTATGCTTCCGGAAGCTGAAGGCAGAAACAAGGGCTTGATGCTGTACGAGGTTTCGAGAATGACGGCTCGATTATTCCCTAAATAGTTGATAACAATTTGTTTAATCTTAAATTATGAACCAATTTTAATCAAATTCATTTTAAAAATAATGGTAATAATAATTTTTTTACCTGAAGACGATTGAGAACATATGTGTATTTCCCCCAAAGTTCGGGCCTACTTTCCATTAAAGAAAGCTCGAGAATTCTATGTATACACCAAACACCAAAGCTTTTTATCAACTCAATTCTCCATACACAACCCTCACCACAATTTGGAACCGATGTCACTAAATACTTATTGTATTCAGTTTCATCAATTTTGGCCCCACCACCACCACGGGCACCTGCCCGGGTCACCTCATTCCCCTCAATTTCATACAGAAATCTCTCCCGGGCAGCCACCCGGTCAACAAGATCCTCATCTAACCCATCATTCTGCTTAAACAACCATTCAGACCCTTCAAGCTTCAACAGTTTGACAATACACAACCTAAATGACTTCAAAAGATTTGCTTCAGCATCTACTCCAGATGTAATAATAGCTTCTTGAGTGTTCAAATTAACCTTTTCAGCCAAACCAAATTGTTCAGATGGCTGTTTTGACCACATTGACCACGTGTCTGACCCCGACCCTAACCCAATTCCCGGCCCGTAACTGGAAACGGGTTGGTAAGCAGCAGCATCCCGGGACAAATTAGAATAAGACAGCCCGCCATAACCCGAGATTGTCCCGGACCTGTACAACGGGCCTGGGCCCGGATACACCGGTTGCCCATATCTCGGCCCGTTGTCTCTTTCGGGTAAAACTTTAGACTCCCGATTAGGAATCAACCCGGAAATATCCGGCATACTGTAATACTTCTTCTCATGCACATTCTCAACCGGGCCCGCAGGCTGATGATTGTAATAAGTTCTTTCGGGCTGCATCGAGGTGTTTCTGGACACAACCGGGTCGGGAAAACCCGGTGGCTTCGCGGGTCGTAACCCGTTTTGTTGGGTTCTTGTTAAAGAAACCGGAGATTTGTAGTTCGACGAGGCATTCCCAATTGATGGTGATTTAGGAGAAACCGAGTCCATTTGGAAGTAATCGGAATTTCTTTGTTTAGTTTGATTGATTAAGGATTTAATTTGGGACCCGTGAACAGTAGCGGGTTGATCCGCATACCCACTGGAAGCCTGTGGTAGGCGTAAACTATGGTAACGTTTCTCCGGGTCCATATTGAGGCCCGGGTTTTGAGTATATGCATCGAGTAATTGTTGATAGTTTGACAATAGAGAAGACGACCCACGAGGTACCACATAAACCGAATCGGATAACCCGGTGGACACATTCGGGTTAAACCCGTTAAAT